GTCTAAAAAACATGAATGGAAGTCAATGGAAGGTCCCCACAGGGTCGAGAAACAAACGTGTGTGTGTGTGTGAGCTCAGCAACTGTCTCACATGTCGTGTGTCCTCCTTCAGCTCTAACCCTACCAGATCTCTCGTCCCGGTCTGATGAGGTCATCATGATGTAACCCTGGTGCTGAAGGTCCRGCCCTGCTGTGGATTAATATCAGCTGTAATTTCACTGCTTTGCATCAAACCTCCTGAAACCTCCTCAGTTTGAGATTTTCCTTCAAACCCTGAGATGAAGACTGAGTTGAAGACATTACAGAAAGAAAGCTGTTCAGGCTGAGACTCGTCCATCAGGCAGGCTGGCATACAGGTKTACCGGGGGTCTTCCTGGTGGGCCCACGGGCTGCGGGTGGTCTGGCCTGTAGAGGTGCAGTGGCGCTCGGCCCCGTGGTCACCGCTACGCGTGCTTGTTGTGCGGCACCACAAAGCCTCTATAAAGACTTGGTTATAGTCACGCAGGTCGCGCACACCTGGTGCTTACGTTGTTGCAGATTTTTCTCCCCAGTCCACCTGGAGGAGATGTCTCATCTGACTAATTCTCCAAACCTTTTTCACATCAAGTGATTGTTAAATGTATATAAGTTCTTTCTTTAGTAAATTTATAATAAAAAGAATGTGACAAACATGAACTATGGTTTTATGGACCTGCAGTAGAGACCCTGGTTTTCCTGAACCTGGTTCATTTCCTTGCAGTCCTGGAGATCCTGCAGCTGGTGAAGAAGCGTGATCTATTTCTGGCTGACATCCACATCCTGGAGCTGGAGCAGGAATGCAACGAGTCTGCTGCCTCCGTGGAGCCTGAGGACGGCACAGGACCCTCCGCCGGCGCCAAAGATGGCAGCCGAAGGAAAGCGAAGGATGTGGAGCTGCTGTACGAGGAGCTGCAGAAGGAGCTGTGGGCTGTGGTCAGGGAGTCCCTGAGGTCTCAGACTGCRGGGCCTAACCTGGGCCTGGTGGTGCAGGTGAAATCTGTTGCCAAGACAGAAACTAAGGCGGACATTTAGATTCAGGCCAATAAAACCTGTCCATATGAGAGGGATGGATCATTGTTTCTGTTTACAGGTCCTGCAGCAGGAGGAAATAACTGATAAAAACTGGGCTCTCAGTCAGGCGGCGTCCCCCRGGGGCCCGAGGCCCCGTCGTCTGAAGCAGAAATGGAAAGAGGCAGTAGAGGAGGCGGCTGACAGCTCGCTGCCTCACAAAGCAGAGTTCACTGCTGGAGGACTAGACAAATACCTGGATCGGCTCCGAGCCCAGATGGTGGAAGACCTGGGGGCTGCCAACCGGAACGTTGTGTCCATTTACCCCGAAGAGTACACGCCCTTCCAGGTGAGACCCCACCTGGACACAAAGATCCTCCTCAACTGAAACGTCTCTTAACTTCTGACCTTCGACCTKTCCCAGGTGTACGTAGACAGTTACCACCAGGCTGTCGCAGGTCGCCTGAAGGCCATCACCGATGGTCAGCTGGACATGAGTGACATCTACTCACTGCTGGACTGGCTGCACAACATTTACAACAGGTACACACATTTACAACAAGTTTACAAACAAAAACAACAGGTACAAACAAATACAACAAGTTTACAAACAAATACCACAGGTACACACATTTACAACAAGTTTACAAACAAATACAACAGGTACACACATTTACAACAAGTTTACAAACAAATACAACAGGTACACACATTTACAACAATTTTACAAACAAATACAAGAGGTACACACATATACAACAAGTTTACAAACAAATACAACAAGTTTACAAACAAATACAACAGGTACACACATTTCCAGCAGGTTTAGGATCTTATAAAAACGGATAATCAGTCAAAGTGAGCACAGTGGTGTTCTGTAAAGTTGTTTTCCTGGACTGAATTGATCTCAGAGGCTGACCCAGATGGTTCGGTCCACCTGATGGTTGGACCTGTTGTCTGGAAAGAACTTTACTAACTAAAGTAGAACTTCTCAGTGACGTGAGCCAGTCTGAAACAGGAGGTCATGTCCAGGTTCTCAGGGCTCAGATGTTGTGTTTTCTGTTTCAGGGACGTTCTGGGGACGGTCTGCATCACCAGTCCCTTCAGCCGCTCTCAGCTCGGTCCTCTTCTGGCCTCAGAGACCGTAGACAGACTGGAACTGGACTGTCTGAACTCAGTGCGGGTGAGGAACCCMACCTACACTCCACAGTAACAGACATGTCAGGTTCTGCTAACATCTGATGGAGACCCTGAGGAGCAGAACCTGAACCATACCTGACAGGTGTGTTTGATCTGCTGCTTGGTGCTGCCCTCTGCAGGCCAAGGTGACCACAGAACTGAGCCAGATTCTGGACGAGGAGGAGAAAAGATGGATGGAGACACTGCACATCGAAGAATATCAGATAACTTTGGCCAAAACTGTCATCCAGGTATCTGTTTCCATGGTTACCATGTGTAGGTTGCAGGTTCAAACACATCTACTGTTTCTGCTGCTTTTTAGTGGGGTTTGTTTGAATCTGCTGCCCTCTAGTGACCAAAAATACAAACAAGAAGAAAAGTAAAAAACCTATCAAATTCTCTTGTGTTCARTGCTTGTTTCAGAGTTTTCAGGAAATTCAGGATGATTTAGTCTGATTTCCAACATCAGTGCTGCTGGACTCACAGACAAGCTGTGACATGAAGAGACACGACATGATGCTGACCTGTTGTTTTCTCTCAGAGGCTGCAGGTGGACCTGGAGCGCTCCGCCTCCATCAGCAGGACTTTGGGCTCCAGAGTGGCTCAGTGCAGCCTGAACGGACTGGCTGACTTCCTGTACAGGTACCAGTCTGACCAGTTCAGCTGAGACAGGGCCATGCTGACAGGACCAGCAGACCTGAGCCCAAACTAAAGAAATATTAAGCTTTAATTCAAACACTTAAAGACAGAAACACGTAAAACATGTTTCTATCTTTCTTTAAGGGAGTTTGACTTGTAACAAAAAAAAAAAACAGTTTTCTGTTAAAACTCGTCCATGAGTTTCACATCATGTCTCTGAAGAAAAGATAAAAGAAAAAGTTATTTGATCTTTTCTCAAACACAAATCCTTCATGCTTTGGTCTCAGCTTCCATCGGAAAGTTGACATGTTCCACGAGGGCATGCAGAGCGGCATGCTGGGAGACAACGAGGACGGATACGTGTCCAAAACCATTGGCATGGTGAACTGCTGTCCTCCGTTCAGGTACAGAGACCAGTCTGCAGCAGCAAACCTTCAGACACGGATCAGAACCACAGGGTCTTCAAGGTCCTTCACTCCTTTAGGTGGGATCTGTGGAGTCAGCATGTCTTACATGTGTGTGTGTGTGTGTGTGTGTGTGTGTGTGTGTGTGTGTGTGTGTGTGTGTGTGTGTGTGTGTGTGCAGAGGCTTTGTGCAGCGCTGTGCACAGTTTGACCCGTCCGTCAGTGAGGACTCTCTGAAACGAGCCAACAGGTCTCTGGAGCACATCATCCAGCAGGGAGTGAGAGTTCTGTTGGAGCGACTCTTCCTGCACATCCGGGTAAACACACACACACACACACACACACACACACACACACACAAAACCCTAAACTAACCTCACAGGTACCTACCTGACCCTAAACTAACCTCACAGGTACCTACCTGACCCTAAAACTAACCTCACAGGTACCTACCTGACCCTAAACTAACCTCACAGGTACCTACCTGACCCTAGAACTAGAACTAGAACTCAGGTACCTACCTGACCTTAAAACTAACCTCACAGGTACCTACCTGACCCTAAACTAACCTCACAGGTACCTACCTGACCCTAGAA